TATGTGCTTATTGTAATCAGCGCCCCAAAATGCACCAGATAGGGGGGTGAGACCGTGACTTTTCAAAAAAGTGATGCAAACCGGACCACCCTAATGGTGACGGACAGACACCGGCGTCTGACGACACTCGCCCTCTACATCGTGGCAGTGTACCTTCCGACCGTTCTGGCCATCAAGCACAAACCGGACCTGGTGGAGGCGCCCCGACATCTGTTCGACCAGCTGCAGCGACAGATCACAGAGGCAACACATGGGAGGCCCAGACCTGCAAACTGTTCAGGGTAGCTTGTGCGGCAATGCGTTGATGGCTCATCCTGAGAACGTGGTGCTCGGTATGCTCGGTGACGAGCGCCGTGACGTCAGAGCACGAGCCGTGCAGATGGTGCGCGAGGCACGAGCTCGCCGGCAGCCTGGGCCAGTTCGCCAGTTCCGTGTGCAAAGCGCGTCGGTGAATGTGTCTGCTCACCAGTACACGGAGCTTGTCGACGTCACCATGTACGCTCGAGTGGCTGATGTAGAGCCACCTTGTGTTCGCTTTCTCAGTGACGGCGACCTGGAGGCACTGGTGGACGAGCCGCTGCGGACTAGGGTGCCATGTCACACCCAGTCCACAGAGCGCGCCGTCAAGCTTACCACCCAGTCCTCTGGAGCGGTGGCGGGCGTGGTGCGCCAGGACGGCTATAGCTTGAATAAGATAGCCTTTCGGCGTCACTTTCGCGGGCAGTAGTCAGTAGTCGGACTCCAAGTGGCGCTATAGTCGCGGGCGCTGTGACCTAGCTTAGATGGACACCAGGATAAGAGGACATAATCTCCTTGTGCGAGATGTGCTAAATATCACATGTTGTTGCTTTGTTCGTTTTATGCCGTTGCGTAAGGTTTAGTGGTTGTGACTAGTGCCGGCAAAATCGCCAGGCTGTGTGGGTGTGGTGCGTACTCCTTTGTGGGTATTTCATACCCAATTCTATTGAAATAGGCAGAATAATACACCGCTTGTGTCATTAGTTTGTAAATATCAGTATCGTCACTCAAAATGTCGTCGCAGTGCGTCAAAACACATGAGAGCGATGGCCCGTCCTCTACCGGTAGCGACCGCCCTGGCGGTCGCCACCTAGCGGCCGGGAGCGGAAACACGGAAATGGCCTCAGTAATTTCAGTCCAAAAATAATTTGGCTGGCCCTAGCTCACTAATTTGCGCACATACGCCTAGGAATATGTTTGCTGCATCTGTTAAATATCATTTTAATAACTTTATTCTTCATTTTTTCTGATATATGGTAAAAAATGTGCGCATTCGCAAAATTTTCAAAATCTTTGATCGACCGGGGCCTACAAAAAAAATTCGAAATTTGCATTTTTTATGTGCTTATCGTAATCAGCGCCCCAAAATGCACCAGATAGGGGGGTGAGACCGTGACTTTTCAAAAAAGTGATGCAAACCGGACCACCCTACAGTCACCATTCGCGTGTTGGCGGTATCCAAACGACGATTTAATCCTCGTCATGCTTTTATGGGCTCCGGATTCTCTGTTCCTTGTCACAGTACAGTACTAAAACGATCATTCAACTCATTCACTCTATATTTGTCACGCCTATAAATATACAAAAACAAAACTGCAATTTGTTCAAAGTACCCTGGTGACATCCCACCTTCAGTGCTTCTTGATAGTTACATTTTGCTGCCACAAACATCAAACAGGGCATACAATTTACCATCTCAACAGCACTTTTAAACATCATGTGATGGGATAAGTTCGTAAAAGGTAAAAACGCCAACAAAACAGCGCCTTTCGTCGCTCATTTCGAGCGCTACCAGCTTGTTGATTCGCTAACATTGAGAGCACTACATTGCATTGCCTTTGGTTCATCCCTCACCGCAACCAGATACAGAATCTAAGCCGATAAACAAAGTGAAGAGAAGACCAGTGAAGTTGAGACAACTCACAGCCCCAGCCATCGGGAGACCACAGAAAATGAGTGCTTAGTCATGGGTAGCACATGTGACGAGGAAGAGAGAAAGGAAGTTGTGACAATATCACTGCCGCCACCCGGTACCGCTCACCATTTGGAGCGTGCTCTCTACCCGCTCCCTGACGTCATTTTCATAGTTATGACGTCAGCGTGACGTCAACATTCCGTATAAAGCAGATCTGCTGCATCACCAACACCGACGGTCTAAAGCATAACAATATACGATATGGCGTCTACAAAAGTCAAGCGCTGCCGGTCCTTTCAGCAAATTTGCAAAAATATACGATTACCACCACGTTGAAGCTTAGAAGGCACTAACAGCGACATGACGGTGGTTCTGACCGTCGGATAAAGCTGTCATCATTCTGTCGCTCCCACGGCAGCGGCGGCGGTAGGGATAGCACCACCGGCGGCCACCGGACAGGCACCAGCGCCTTCTGCGTTAGCCGGCCGCGGCGGGTCGTTCGGGGCCGGCGCCGTGTTGGCCGCCTTGGCCGCGTCCAGGATCGGCTTCGCTCCCATACCGAGCAGCATCAGGGCCACATCGATGCCGAGTTTCTCGGCCACCTCCAGCTCCTCGTGTTCCTCGTGAGGCGCCCAGACGCCGACAAAGTGTCGCTCACCACCGGCGCTCATCGTGCGACGACGCTTGGCCGCCGGCTCTGCGCCGTTCTTCTCCGCTGCGCCGTTCTTTGTATCACCCGCGCCGTTAGAGTCTCCATCGCCTCCACCGTGTCCAGGAAGAGGTACAGCCAGAGTGCGGCGCACCTCCTGAGTGCCATCCAAACTCCAGACACCTCCCGTCAGGTGTAGAACGTGTCGGTGGAGTCGGGTACGCGCCGCCACCGGTACCGAACAGCCGCCCTCCAGCTGACGCAGGAAGGCGCGCTCGGCCACACAGCCCAGCTTGGTCTCCCGGTGGGAGAGGGCTGATACGAGCCGCAGTATGGGCATGTCGTCAGCGCGACACTCGACGGCCAGCGCGCCCTGGCCGACGGCGTGCATGCAGTCCTCCGGCGGCAGGATCTGACGATGGACAGAGACATAGCACGCTGTCAGGTGGGCGGGCGGTGCTAGAAGTTCTAACCGAGAACGGGGATAACGCCAGCGTTACTAGACTGCAACGGCTGGTGACAATTTGATGTACGCAGACTGCGTGTAAACCGGCAAGATATCGATAGCTGATGTATCATAGCACTCAAACACCAGAATGCAGAAAAACATCGATTATAATAATAGGACACTTCTTCCTTAATACGGTCCCAGCATATCGAATTCAAGACTCGTTGCCCCGTCCCACAATATCTAACCCCTTGCCCCCGCACCCCCCACCCTCGAAGTCTGACGGTACTATCTCCTCAGCACCCACGCTCCCCCCACATCCCACATCCCATGCCACCACTCACCGCGCTGATTCTGTCGGCCCAGCCCATGCGAGTGACGCCGGCCACGGCCAGCACGATGGCGGCAAAGTCGGCCTCTCCGCCTCCCTGATCCAGCTTCCTGAGCCGCGTGTTCAGGTTGCCGCGCACGGAGCGGAACTGCAGCTGCGGGTAGCGCCGCTGCAGCTGGGCGGTGCGGCGCAGAGACGACGTGCCTGGGGAGCGAGAGGAGGCGGTTAGAGATGGAGGGCCGAGAGGAAGGGAGGGGTCACAACATGTAAGGAATGCAGTAGACAGCCGTGAAAAAATGGCGGGCGTTGATTTGGGGGATTTGGGGGGTCAGTTACAACATGAAAAAGTACATGCAATGCTTTGGACGAACTACGTAAAGCCTGCTATTGGATGACTAAATCACAATTCGCCAATTTCATTACACATACTAATCGAAGTGACAACGGGTAAATATGTCTCATGACTGGGTGGTTAGTAACCGTCTCCTGACTGGTGACAGAGAGTTCGAGACAGAGAAAGTCCCCACTGTGTGTGCCATTGGTCATTGCTTAGTCTTCCAGTTCCATCCAACCCCAGCCCGTTTGTGGTATAGCCAACTACACTGACCGACGATACTGCCGGCTGGCAGACAGTGCAGAATTTTCCCCCGGTGTTCCTCCTTCATAACAACCGCGTCACTGGGGTCCTCCCGTCTGTAACACAACAGGGCACCCGGTTACTGCACTCCCGTCCCTGGGACGCGCGGTTAGTTCATCCCTCCTCACGGGTACTCCGTCTGTAACAAAACAACGCCCGGTCCGTGCATTACCATTGCTGGGTTCCCACCTTTTAATTAGTACAATAGGGCACAGCACACAGCCAGCATAATGACAAAAAATCCCCAAATATTGGCACCTAAAACAACCTTTGCCACCACCAAACACGCTCGGGTACCTAAAAACCAACCAATCTCACTCGGTTAAATAATCTTGTGCTGACACTAGCTACTCTCAACAAGTTAAGTGTCCGATCACGTAACATCTACTGAAGCGTTTGCGACTCTCAGCAATGCCACACACGGAGAGCCCTGGGCTGAACTGAGCCGTGCAATGGGATAGCCAGAAACAGCCACCCCAGCTGCTGATTGCGTAGGGAAAACAATGCCACTCGAGGCGCGCCACAGCCTAGTCCCACGGTGTCAGCAGAAACGGCTCAAGAGCAGCGGGCGGGACATCGGGGCTGGAGCACAGTGCGAGAACGACGGACGGTAAGGAGTTAAACTGAAGGTCGGCGAGGAAAGGAACTGAAGAAGGGAACTGAAGGTCGGTGAGGAAACAGGCTGACCAATGTACGGGCTATTGGTTTGACGAACCGTTTGAAATGCACGATCCCGCACATCAATGACGGACACATCTCTAACTGACGGCAACGGGCACATCTGGCAGTGGCCAACACAGGGACACGTCTGATAATTTGACACTGCAGCAGACAGAAAACAGGGACACATCCCATGACCCCTCCCCCACGGTAAGGTACTGACTCGCAGATGGCTCCGATGACCATGCCGTCGGGCAGCACGGTCGGCAGGTCCTTCAGCGAGTGCACCACCACGTCCACCTTGCGCGCCTCCAGCGCCAGCTCCAGCTCCTTGGTAAACAGGCTCTTCTCGCCGATCTTGCTGAGCGCCACGTCCAGGATCTTGTCGCCTTTTGTAGACATAGGAACTGCAGGCGGGAGACGGGAGTCAACAAAGGGGAAGGTAGAAAGATAGACGTTGGAAAACGTAGTTTGATCAGCAAAGATAAACTGATTAGACAGGGTGTGTCGCTATTCGTTACTGCCCTGTGACCTTTTTTCTCCTCATGTTACCGTACCGTATTTGTTTTCCATCGTTACTGTGTTGTATCCTACCTTTCCTTTACGCCTCGTCATTTTATTTTACCTATGGCAGCCCATTTGGTAACCCCTGCATCCTTCACGAATATTTTTCCTAACCGCGCCGATTTCGCTTTGTTGTCGTATTTCGTTCTGAGTTCTGTCGCCACCGCCGCCGTGTGAGGTTGTGTACCGCCGCTGTGCTATCTGCTGCCACCACCGCCACCAATATAATTGAAGTGCTCATATATTCAAGTTTTTTAAGTCAAACCAGAGAGCCGGCCCTATTTATTTCATTTTGATTTTCAACATAGTCCTCCGGGCCGGATGACTTTTTGATTTCTGTTAAATTTGCTTCTTTGATGATTTGCTGATTGATTTTGACTGATCAAGACTGAGATTGACTTGTGAATTGTGTATATCAAGATGGAGAGTGAGGCACAGCTTAAACAGAAAAGGACTGTGGCTCGAGGTAAGGCAACCAGACTGATGAAAGAGCTTGCCGAATGTGATAATTCTCAAGAGGACGACCTTGCCTTGGCAATACACCACCTTGAGCAGCACGTTGATCTGATGACCGAGATCCAGGTGAGCCTGACAAAGCTGTCTGTGCCTGATGATACCTCGCATGTTCAGGATATGCAGGATCAGCTTTTCAAAGCTAAGCGTGTGCTTGCTCGTCTGGAAAGGAGCTCTGAGGTCTCTGTTGGAAGGGCTCAGTGTGTGCCGCCTTACCTGGGGGGAAAGCTGGACCTGAAGCTGCCCAAGTTCTGTGGGGATGTGGAAAAGTGGTCAGAGTTCTGGAGCCTGTTCTGTGTATCTGTCCATGACAACCCTGCTTATGCACCTGTCGAAAAGCTGGTGCACTTGAAGGCGCACCTCGTCGATCAGGCTGAGGTGGCTGTGCAGGGTCTTCCCATCACTGACCAGGGCTACTTGAAGGCTGTGGAGACCCTGAAGGAAAGGTTTGATCGCCCAGATTTGTGCATTAAGGTGCTGATGCAGAGATTGTTGTCCACCACCCCTGTGCACAGTGACAATGACTTGGTCCGCTTGCGACGCATGATTGATGGGCTGGTTTCTGAGGTCAGGGCGCTGGAGACGATGAACGTGTTGCCTGACTCATATGCTGTCCTGCTGATGCCTGTGCTATTGTCTTGCATCCCTGAGTCATGGAAGATTGAGTGGCTGAGATGCAGTGCTGACTCATCTGATGAACTCACAGTCTTCCTGAAGTTCCTGCAGAAGGAGATGAGCATCAGGGAGGAGGCAGCTGCTCGGAGGAAGAGGATCACCGGTGAGCAGCCACCTACCGCAGTACCTGGGAAGCCGACAGTCAGCATGCTGAACGTGAGGCAGAAGAAGGGACCTGACTGGGTATGTCTGGCATGCGGAACGGGTAAGCATGGCCTGGCTGCGTGTTCGGCCTACCGCACCATGACTGTGCCTGTTCGCTGGGATGTTGTGCGCCGGGCTAAGCTCTGCTACCAGTGTCTTGGTCCCCATCTGCTGCGTGCTTGCCACAGCACCCGATGCCCATGGTGTGGTGGCCCGCACCACTCGTCATTGCACCCGCCGCCCGGAGAGCATGCAGCCCTCATGCCTACTGAGAGATGTGTACCTGATCGCGGACCTCTGTCACCCCCTGCCGCTGCTGCTGTGTCTGAGAGTCGCATGCCTGATCGCAGACCATTGCCGCCCCCTGCTGCTGCTGGCTCCGCACGCCCATGCACATCCGTCCCTGGTTGGCAGAAAAAGTACCAGCAGCAGCTGCTACGTGCAGACGGCGCTCGTGGAGGTGGCTGGTCCTCGGGGCGTGCGTCTAGTACGCGCGCTGATTGACGGCGGGGCAGACGCCTCCTTCATCCGGGCTTCACTGGCTGACCAGCTGGGACTCGAGAAGGTCGGCCAGGGGACCTTCGCGTGTGTCGGATTCAAGGAAAGAGTTGAGGAGGCTCACCAGTACGACCAAGTAAGCGCGCGGCTCACTGGATACCAGAAAGGTGAGGCCGAGCTTGTGTTCTGGAGAACTGATAAGCTGTGTGCGCCCGTGGGAGCTCCACCACCCATTCAGTCTCTGCCCCCAAGTGTAGAGCTTGCTGATGACTTCCGTGACGGACCTGTTGATGTTCTAATTGGGTGTGATCAGCTGTACAAGGTGGTGTTGTGGAACCAGGTGGAGGTGAATCCTGGCCTCCGCCTGGTGGAGACTGTGTTCGGGTATGTGCTCCACGGACAGTCCCCAGGCCAGCAGACGACCCGGCAGCGGCACGCCTACCGCTGTCAGCTGGTTGACGTCGAGCGAATGTGGACGCTGGACGCTGTGGGAGTCGCCGCAGAGGAGACCGCCGAGAGAGACCCACCTGTACCGACTTGGAACGCCACCGAGAACAGGTATGAGATGGGGCTAGTATGGAAGTCCGACCAGCGCCCAGTGTCTAACCTGATGTTATCGAAGACCCGGACTCACCGTATGACAGAGAAGTTGAATGTTGAACAGTTCCAGGAGTACGATGACCACCTGCATCAGCTGCTGGAAGACGCTGTCATCGAGCCCGCGCTACCGAGTCCGCCATCAGAGTTCATCTTACCGCACCGAGGACTGCACCGCAACGGCAAACTGCGAGTGGTGTTCGATGGATCAGCGCCAGACGGTGCAGGTATGAGCCTGAACTCCTACCTTGAGCCGGGAGAGAACCTGCTGCATCGTTTACCAGCTGTGCTACTTAACTTCCGTTCAGGAGCTGTGGGTTGTCAGACGGACATTCGTGCAGCTTTCCATCAGATTGTACTCACTGAGGAGGACCGTCAGTTCGTGCAGCTGCTGTGGGCGGGCCAGCGGCTGAGGTTTCGCAGGGTCCCGTTTGGACTCACCTGTTCGCCCTACATGTTGCTGTGCACTATCGCTGAACACGTCCGCCGGTGTCTGCGCGATGAACCTGTTCTGTTGCAGAAGGTTCAGGATTCCGTCTACATGGACGACATGTGCCCGTCCTTCAGTACGAGGGCGGAGGCAGAGGCCGGACTGACGAAGATGGGTGACGTCTTCAGCGAGGCCTCCATGGATCTTCACAAGACCAGGATGTCTGGTGACGACACTGAGGACGAGAAGGTGCTCGGCCTACTGTGGAGCACAAGATCGGATCGTCTGGCCGTGACCGTGCCACAGGTGACCTGCCCTGGCACCCGGACTGAGCTGCTATCTGCTGTGAGTAGACCGTTTGATCCGCTCGGCGTGGTGACGCCGTGGCTGATCTGGGGGAAGGCCCTGTTTCAGCGTACCTGGCTTGACGCTGAATGCACATGGGATAGTCCCCTGAGTGGGGAGCTGCAGACCGAGGTCCGAGCCTGGTGGAGAGACTCGCCGGGGAGGGTGATCTGGTTCCCTCGCCTAGCCGGAGCGCGTGACGATCAGTCCGGAGCGACTTTTCACGTGTTTTGTGACGCGTCTCGGACCGCCTACTGTGCGGTGGTGTATGTGGTCCAGGGTGGGGAGCCTGCCCTGGTGATGTCTAAGAGTAGGCTGGCCCCCCTGTCTCCACATCTAACGATCCCCAGGCTGGAGCTGATGGCCGCTGTTGTTGGAGCCAGGTTGATGGACTTCATCAAGAACGCGCTGCATCTGGAGAGCGCAACAGTCACCTACTGGTCCGACTCGACCGACGTGCTTCACTGGCTCAACCGGAGGCGGCCTCTCAAGATGTTCGTGGAGAACCGGGTGAAGACTGTGCTTCAGTTGACGACCGCCGACCAGTGGAGGTACGTCAGAGGCTCTGATAACCCCGCTGACATAGGCACGAGAGGGGTAACGCTGACGTCTCTCATCGCCTGTGACAAGTGGTGGAAGGGTCCACCATTTGATTTGAGTCCGCCCGACTATGATGTCTCGTTAGTGCTACTGACGCCTCCCTCAGCAGAAGCCGAAGCAGAGACGAGGCCCGAGGTCAGACGTCAGATCGTGGCCGTGAGACGAGAGTGTGGCCCTGATCCGATTCCAGACGTCATGCGTGGACCGTTTGATGTGACTCGGTGTTCTCATCTCAAGCAGGCAGTGAACCGCACCGCGTGGATTCTTCGTTTCGCGCACAACGCCAGGCACCAGCGCACTGAGAGGAGGAGTGGAGCGCTGTCACCCGAGGAGCGCCGGGAGGCGCTGCGGTTCTGGATCCGGGTCTCGCAGAGTGCCGCCTACGCGCCGGAGCTGGAGGCGCTGACGGCTGGCGCGCCGCTGCCACCCAACTCGCGACTCGAGAAGGTCAGACCTCGTCTAAACGCAGATGGTGTCCTAGAAGCAGTCACGCGAACTCACGAACCTGCTCTGATCATTCTGCCTGAGTTTGCCCATCTGACCACCTTGATAGTGGATGATGCACACCGTAAATCGTTTCACCAGGGTACCCGCACCACACTGGCACTGCTGTCTGGTGAATACTGTGTGAGGAGACGAACTGTTCATCGTGTAGTCAGTACATGCTTCAGGTGCCGGAGGTACCGAGGTGCGCCGTGTCGGTCAGCTGATGGCGCGCTGCCCCTGTTCAGGACGGAGCCCAGCCGTCCGTTCAGCCGGGTCGGTGTGGACTTTTTCGGTCCGATGTACGTCAAGGGCGGCGACAAGGTATGGGTACTGCTGCTGACCTGTGCCTCGTCGCGAGCTGTGCATCTCGAACTGTGTAAGACTCAGAATGTCGCTGACGTCAAGCTGGCTTTGCGCCGCTTCTTTGCGCTACGTGGCACGCCATCGCTAGTTGTGAGTGACAATGCCAGAACGTTTCATGCCCTGCTCGGGCACCTACCTGCAGCTGTGACCTGGCGCTTTGTACCCGAGGCGGCGCCCTGGTGGGGCGGCTTCTGGGAACGTTTGGTCGGGATAACCAAGAAGTCCCTGCGCATTACCCTGCACCAGTGTTACCTTACCCATGAGGAGTTGGCAGTCACCCTGTATGAGTTGGCCTTACAACTGAACTTCCGACCTCTCACCCCAGGTGACGACGACGTGCTGACGCCCGCGCACCTGTTGTTCGGGGTCACGTCCATCCGTGGCGTGCTCTCTCCGTCTGGCCACGAGCTGGACAGCCTGAGTCGGCGCTGGCGGCACCAGCGGCTGGTCAGCGAGCACCTGGTTCAGCGATGGACCAAAGAGTACCTGCAGACTCTACGCACGTGGAGCTTCTCTCGGCGCGGCCGTCCGGTTCGGCTGCCCGAGGTCGGAGAGATTGTGCTGGTGCACGCGGAAGGTCCGCGTGGTCGCTGGCCTCTGGCGCGCGTGGTGTCCCTCCTGTCTGGAGCGGACGGCCGCGCTCGCGCGGCGAGTATCGTGCTAAGAGGGCGACTTACCCGCCGCCCGATTAACAAACTGTTGAGACTAGAGGCGTCTGAGTGAAGTGAGCGTCGGCGAGGCGAATGCCGAAAAAGTGACTGTGCCGAGTGAGGAGACTTTTCGAAGTGACGGCTCACTTCGAAAGTGGGGAGTATGTCGCTATTCGTTACTGCCCTGTGACCTTTTTTCTCCTCATGTTACCGTACCGTATTTGTTTTCCATCGTTACTGTGTTGTATCCTACCTTTCCTTTACGCCTCGTCATTTTATTTTACCTATGGCAGCCCATTTGGTAACCCCTGCATCCTTCACGAATATTTTTCCTAACCGCGCCGATTTCGCTTTGTTGTCGTATTTCGTTCTGAGTTCTGTCGCCACCGCCGCCGTGTGAGGTTGTGTACCGCCGCTGTGCTATCTGCTGCCACCACCGCCACCAATATAATTGAAGTGCTCATATATTCAAGTTTTTTAAGTCAAACCAGAGAGCCGGCCCTATTTATTTCATTTTGATTTTCAACAGGGTGAGCTTGGCCTAAAACATTTCTGATCAGCTTGGCTAGGTTTCTTTCACTACCACATACCGATCTCGATGTCCAGCTCGGGGTTTATCTTCTTCAGCTCATCTTTGACCCAGTTCGTCTGGATCATGGCCAGCTGCGAAAAAAAAAAAAACAGACGGGATAGGTCACTAAAGTTCATTACAATAGGCCTTGCCCAGGAAAAAAGTTCATATGGTTAGAATAGAATAGCTTGTTCATGACGAATGCCCAGGGTATCTAATATACCCAATCTAATATACCGTAACGAAATGCGTGACCGATGGACGGATATAAAACACAAAAGTCTCACAGAATGATCAATGACAGCTACTGAACCTTTGGCTCGAATGCTACTGTCTTTGGCTTTGACTTTTTAACTAAAATACATGCACTTGGCATTTAACTAGTCTGAAAGATCGTGCGCGTTATAGTGTCACTCGGGAGCGAAAACAGTCGATGATTTTTGCAATGACTGACTACAAAACGAAAAGGTCACGGGCAACCATCAGGCATTACCCCAGTGAAAACATCAGAGCTGGGTTTGTGTCAAAAGGTCAGACATGTCGAGTTGCTTTATTTCAACAGGTCCCTATTTGACGGACGTCGACTTGTAGGCCCCAAACTCTTCGTACTTTGAACAGACATGAAATGACACATATACTATCAGTCTGTTTGAATACGCTCGTAATCAGCGTTTGACCAAGCAATGTTTGGTTAGCTTTTAACCGTGCCGGCGGCTCGAAGCCAAGGATAAGATTAATATCGCATGGTTGCGTCATGGAAATTGGAATTGCACTCTGTGGCCAGCACAGAAAGCATGCACGTAATAGCGTAAAACATGTCGGTGAAGTGTTTTGGTGACCGTTTCCCTATTATCTTTTTCACTACAGACCGGTCACATGCCGTGACAGTTCGGCACAACATTACACAACCGTACATCGCCCCATGGTCGATAACAAACAATTGTGGGCAAAGCCGAGAACAGAAATGGCTGGCGAGGCGCTGCCTTGTAGGGCCAGCACAGAACAAACTGCTGCTCTAAACTTCTGAACAGGTGACGGTTCCGGCACGGGCATAGAAAGGAAGCAACTGACAAGTACTGAGCATACATGGGTTAGGAGTAAGCAGGTAGATGCCATGGGTGGTTGAATTGAAGCCCGGAGTGTAACAAAAAGACACGGACGAACAGGGGACGCAGGTCAGATTAGACTCAGCCCTCCAGCCGCCCCACAAAGAATGCAAACGCTAGGCAATGTGGGAGCAGGAGGTGTGTGGACCAATAGACAATGGCAGCCATGCGATCTGCAGATTAACCCTCGCTCCGTGTATCAGCACCATGACAGAAATACCGACAGGAGTCTAGACAGTAGACACGCCCGATTTGATACAGACCCCGAACCGTCTCGGATCAGAAAGGCGAAACGATGCTAAGAAATCCGTGTAAATACTCACAGAGTAAACACTCCGATAGAAGCGATATTTACACCGTCAGATAGATGACACATGGTTGCAATGAGTGACCAATGCGGCAACCACAACAACCAAACATGGGAAACGATAAAACCCCGTCGGTCTCCGTGTCCCTGTGTTGGCTAGTCTATCTCCCGGCCAGTCTGTCTCGTCTAGCCAGAGCCAGCAGACTCTCTCAGTAGACGGTGGCACTGGCCTTGTCGCCATTTAGCGACACGCTCGGGCTCTCCTACGTCACTGCTGACGTAGGACAGCCTCTGAGACGAAGTGTAAATTGGCGCACAATCGCGTGGCTACTGGCTAGACTTCGCCGCCCGTGTCTCCCCGGCTGCTGGGTGCAATGCGCTGCGGTCAATAAGTACCGTCGTTAGGCCCGTATTACTTGACAGCCGATGGACCGCAGGCCACAGCAGTTATTGTGTCAGGAAGTCAATGAGCTGCGGTCAAATTATAAGTACCGTCGTTAGACCCGTATTATTTTACAGCCGATGGACAGCAGGCCACAGCAGTTATCGTGTCAGGGAGTCAATGAGTCGAGGGTCGATCGTGACAGTGAAGTCAGGGGCTAAGCTGAGGTCCATCGAGTCTGTTGGTCAATGGAATGGAGCCCACTGAGTCAGTGAGTCAATAAACCGTAGTAAATCAAGTCAGCGAGCTAATGAGTCAATGGTCCCACCGCGGGAAGCGGCTGTTTTTCTCCCCAACAGATCTCCTCTCCTCATGGGTTCCCCACACAAGAGTGGTTCTACCCTTTGTGGCACTCAGTGATGACTGAAAAGATGGAATCAGAACCTCGTAAAGTTGCAATAAACATTGCATATGCCTGATCCGAATAATTCTTTCAACGTCCAAATAGCATCTCATGATATTTTGTACTTATTGTAGCATTAAACGCAAAAATCAACTTCCGTTTGAGAATGACACCCAGCCACGACTCACCACACCCATGACAATATATTTGAGCAGCCGGGGACCGAGCGCAGCTGCTGCCAAGGCCATCATGCACCGTCAACTACAGGTGTTCCAACCACGAGCCCATTTTGACGGGTATCGAGAGCAAGGGGAAACGCTGTGGCTGGGTTGGCCAGGGGCAGGGGCGGTCGCAGACTTGGAGTTTGGGGGGGGGGGCCAACTTGGCAAAGGGGCCCCTGCGCTGACCCAGGGGGGCCCGGTGCTAGCTCAAAGGGGCCCACGGGCGTAGTGCACGGGTACAGAAATCCAGGCCATGACCGGTGAAGCGGGGGGGGGGGTAGGGAGCGGCACCCGAGCGGAGGCTCATTGCGAGCTTTGAGGGTGTATAATGTCGAAAAGGTACCGATAAGTGCATTTTGAATTATTGATATTGTCTATAATTCACGCAACTGTGAATGGACTACCGCAAAAGTAAAGGCGGCTTAGGCGGCTAACTTTGCTATTTTCTAAGATCATCGTGCTAAAACTTTTGACAGTGGGTCCTCGGTATCTGTTCACTGTTCAATCAAATGTGTTCCGTTTCATCTTCTCTCTTTTTTACTGAGCACAAATGTAAGTTTTGAAGACCATTACAGTATCAAATGCTTCGAAAGATGGATAGTGGGCAAAATATCCTAAATTTGTCGTGCTGCATGGAAAGTAGTGTTGCTGAGAAAAGGGGGTTTTGTTCTAGATTATTGTGGATGCAGAATACATTGTCTACACCCACTGCAGAATTGTGTTTGGTGCAACTGCGCCCACTGCACCCATGGTTCCTACACTTATGGGCCCATCGATAGCGCTTAGGCGATACCTATCGCCTAGAGGCTGCAATGGGGCCCTTAGAGTATGGTGTCAGACCCCCCAGAGGCCGGCGTTGGACCCAAGGGTCAGCGAAGGGTCTCAAAGGCCCCAGGTAGGACCCCAGAGGCTGATGTGGGCCTTCAGAGGCAAGTGCGTGACCCCCGAAGGTAAGGCTTGAGCCCCCCAGAGAACATAATACGGCCATCAGTGGCCGGTGTAGAGACCTCATAGGCCAGTTTGGGGCCCCTCAGAGGCTAAAGTGGGGCCTGAGGTGTCGGCATGAGACACTTAAAGACCGTTATGGGTCCTCAGAAGCCGGCATCGATCCTTCAGAAGCCAGTACGGGGCCCTCAGAGGCACATAAGGGTCAGTTTGGGTCCCAGAGACAGAAATGGGACCATCAGAGGCCGGTGTGGGACCTAGGCTGGTTTGGGCCCTTAGGGGCCAGTTTAGGGCCCTCAGAGACCAGTACAGGGCCTGCAAAAGACAGTTTGAGACCCTCAGAGGTTAGCGTGGTGCCCTAAAAGACCGACATGGGCCGGCGTTAGACCCCAGAGGCCAGTAGAGGGTCCTTAAAGGCCAAGATGGGCCCTCAGAGGCCGATGCGGGCCCTTACAGACCGGCATCGGGTCTTTAGAAGCTCGTGCGGGGTCCTCAGAGGCTAAGGTGGGTACTTACAGGCCAGCACGAGCTGTCAGAGGTCAGTGTGGGGCCCTAAAAGACCGGCATGGGCCGGCGTTGGACCCCAGAGGCCAACAGAAGGCCCTCAAAGGCCAAGATGGGTCCTCAGAAGCCGATGCTGACCCTTAGAGGCCGGCATCGGGTCTTCAGAATCCAGTACGGGGGCCCTCAGAGGCTAATGTGGGCCCTTACAGGCCAGCATGGGGCCCTCAAAGGTCATAATGGGACCCTAAAAGACTGGCATTTGCCGGCGTTATACCCCAGAGGCCAGTAGAGGGCCCTCAAAAGTCAAGATGGGCCCTCAGAGGCCGATGCGGGCCCTTAGAGGCCGGCATCGGGTCTTCAGAATTCAGTGCGGGGCCCATAGAGGCTGTGTGTCGTTACAGGCCAGCATGGGCCCTCAGAGGTCAGTGTGGGGCCCTAAAAGACTGGCATGGGCCGGCGTTGGACCCCAGAGGCCAGCGGAGGGCCCTCAAAGGCCAAGGTGGGCCCTCAGACGCCGATGCGGGCCCTGAGCGGCCGGCATTGGGTCTTCAGAATCCAGTGCGGGGGGCCCTCAGAGGCTAATGTGGGTCCTTACAGGCCAGCATGGGCCCTTAGAGGTCAGTTTTGGGCCCTAAAAGGACCCCAGAGACCAGCGGAGGGCCCTCAAAGGCCAAGATGGCCCCCAGAGGCCGATGCGGGCTCTTAGAGACCAACATCGGATCTTCAGAATCCAGTGCGGGGCCCTCAGAGACACTTAAAGGCTGGTCTTGGGACTCGAGAGACAGAAATGAGGCCATCAGAGGCCGGAATGAGGCTCTCAGACGCCGGTTGGGCCCCTGAGACCGGTTTAGGGGCCCTCAAAGGCCAGTGGAGGGCCCTCAGGTCAATTTGGTTCCTCAGCGATCATGTGGACGCTTGACCGCCACTGAAGGACCCTCAGACGTCAGTGTAGACCCTCAAAGACTGGTATTGGAGCTGTTAATAGCTGGCGTGGGTTTCTCGAGCCTCGTGACAATCTAATACGGGCC